GAGAGAACCAGGAAAGGAAAGCAGACCTTGCCTGCACTGGACACATACCTTCCCCACTGCTAGGAAGCCTGTGAAGAACTCCCACAAGCACTGAAATATCAAAGCTTGTCTGCACTGAACTAGAGAGGCCATAAAAACAGCAAGATTATAACAATATATGAATTAAACATGTTTCGGAGGAAAAACAACACATATTTCATTTGAATACATCAAAATAAACACACGTTATTGAGGTCAAGTTCTTCATCATTTTCCACCTGTTTCTTTTCTGTACCATCTATCTTCTCATTTGACACCCACCATATTTCTCCACTTGTTTCTTGCCTCTCCACTCTTATCATGTTGAGTGGTGGGAGCATCTTTGATCAACTCATCTGTTTTATTTTCTGCCAAATGGGCTGTTCTCTCTCACTCAAGGAATAGCTGACAAAGATGAGTTTTGAAGATCATTAGTAGAGATCACCAACCAGCATGAATATATCCAAAGCTAAGTCTCAATTTGCTTTTAAACATCACCAACCCTAAGAAGCATTTGTCTGGTAAACAAGTGTAGATATCAGTAAATGCCCTTGCTCCTCATCCAACTGAAGGCCAAAGCAAAAGAATAAATGCTGTTGAAATTCAATCAAGCAAATTAAGTGCATCTACTAATGATGCTGGCATTCTGTTTATAAGACTGAGAATCTCAATATTTTTTCTTAATTTGGATTATACTGAGAGGAAACTGGAGGAAAAAATACAAATGAAAAGTTGCAAGAATTAAACAATTTTGAAATCCTAGCAGCCTGGATAAATTAACTGGAAGGAAGAAAGAACATTGAAAAAACATAATATTGGGGGAAACTACTGTGGCTTCTTAAAATGAATTTAAAGGGATTAAGAGATAAACAAGAACCAGTAAAAGTAAAAAGCTAGTTCTCAGAGAAAGGCCTAGAACTGGACCTCAACTAGAATACTTAACAATGGAAGTACAATTGTCAATGGAAGGACACATCAAAAACTCTAAAAGGGAACCCCTAAACCTCCTGCCTTCACTCACTTTATTTCCATGTGCTGCTGCAGTGCCGAACGTACAGAAAGCATTTCGTATACTCACTGATATGGCTGGGGAAAACCCTGAGTTACTAATGACAGCTACAGCTACCTGAAAACCACATGCCAAGGAGATCTCAAACCTTTGCTAAATATATACAAGCATGGTATATAAAATTTAATACCCTCAAGAAAATAAAATTTCAGCTTTATATGAAGCAGTATTTCTTAAAATTGGTTCCAGATTCCCTAGGGGTCCCCCAAATCCTTTCAGGAATCTGTGAGCTCAAAACAGCATTCATAAATATATTAAAAGGTCAACTGACTCCTTTCATTCTCTCACAACTACATGGTGGGGGTTTTCCAGAATCTACATGCCATGTGATTATGTTTATACACCAATGGCTAATAGAATGAGTTCCTGAATTTTAGAGTTTTTTGTTTTGACTTCTAATTTATCAATAGATAAAGCACACACAAACAAAAGTTACTTGGTATGCCCAATAATTATTATAATGTATACTTTATATCACATAAAAGTATACAGAATAAAGAAGTCCTGAGATCCAAATGTTTGAAAAGGAATGATAGGCT